CTCTCAGGCCTGCTCTGATTCTTTTTTTTTTGCTATCAGTTTATTCTTGAATGCGCAAGGGCCATGCTAATCTCCTTCTCTTTCAATTGACCTTCTTCACTACCTACCTGCCACCACTCCTAAGGCATAGACAGGGGACCCCTGCAAACATAATTGAAAGAATTTGAAAGATGATGAAAAGATTTGAGAGAAGAATATAGCGTAGTTAAAAAAAAAAAAAAAACTTCGCCTCTGTATCGTTCCATCTTTTTTTGAATTTATTTTTTCCATCTGGATTCGAACTCAGGTCTGCATTTCAACGGTGTTAGTTTATGGGTGTACCGCTGAGCTAAGCCCGTCGGTTATCGTTCCAATTTTAACGGATGGCCCGAAGGACAACTACGGTAGTTTTTCTTTGGCTTACCTCGTACTTCTACAGACTTCTCCTTCGGGGAAAGGCCCGAGCCCAGAGGCCTCTCGTGTTTTTTTTTTAATTCCCCTCCCCCCCCCTCCTCTCCCTCCTTCTCCTTCCTCCCTCTTTCTTCCTCGTTTCTTTTTCCTTTCTTTCTGAAAATGGGCGAGACCCGCTTTGAGATGTCATCGTGGAACTGGCCTGTCCCAGGTAATTCAAGAATGTCATTCATCTAGTTCGTTATGGATTCGAACTCAGGCCTGCATTTCAACAGTCCATGGGGTGTACCAACGGAGCTAGGCCCGTGGCTGGGTAACCTCTGGTGATTGTCAAGGTAGCTGGGACCATGAACTGGAGCCCCAGGATGAAGGGGGGCTCATGACACTACAAAGCACTACTTCTCGCTGAAAGGTGAAGTTGTAGAGTTGGCAATTGGATTCGAACTTGGGTCTGTATTTCAATTTTCAATAAACTCGTGGGTGTACCTACTGAGCTAGGCCCTTTGGTTTTCCTGTGATTATGGTGAAAGATATACAATATGATAATTATTATTATAATGATAATTATCATATATTGGATATCTATAATATGATCTGGATGTTTATATTTATATTGCAATTACACAACAAATCAAATGAAAGTACTTTGAATTGAAAATTATAATTTGCTTAGAATGGATTTCTTCAATATGTCTTATCAATTAATAGTAGCTTATTCCCTCTCTGCCTACGGTTTACCGGGCAGTTCTATTTGACGATATATATATACAGGGTAACCGCCCGAACCGGACCGCCCGAACGTATGGGACACCTTGCGGCCGTTCGGGCCGAACGCGGAACCAAAAAAAAAAGGAAAAAAAAAAAAAGAAAAAAAAAGAAAGTCATCAAAAAAATCTGAAAAAAAGATATGTTACGGAGAAAAATAAATTAAACAAGATTTGCCTGAGCATTACATCCGAATTCCTTACCAAATTTGAAATAAAAATAAAATACGGAAAACAAATACTAATAATAAAAATAAATAAAAATAAAAAGAGAATTAAATTTAGTGAGTGCGCGAGCATGTTTTCGACACTGCCATCTTTGGCGAT